TGGTTATACTGTGTGGTTAGTGCAAAGTCGGTGTGACATGAAAAAATTCGCAGTGTTGACGAATAACGCGTAAATACTTTTATACGTTGGAGCAAGTAATTACATTAATTACTTTTATTAGAACATTTTCTTTCATAGGCCACTTCTATTTACAATAAATAATGTACGCCAGTTCGTATGCGCCTTTCCTGGATACGATCCTGAAAAGGGCCCAGGCACTTTTAGCCGTTGATGCACTGTTGGCGCGAATAAAAACATGGCGGAAAATTGAGAACGCCCAGATGATCTGGGCGGCCCAGATCAAAAGTGCCGACAGAGAGTGCCCATACTGGTTATACTGTGGTTATATTGCAATAACATTCCTACAATATTGCAACATTGCTGTAATGTAGCTGCAAGGTTTGTGCTGTATGGGTAGCCGTTAGATATCTAATGAATATTTGTTTCGTGTGGGGAGCTGCCGCTGTACGATACTATTCGCATAGCTTTTAGTCAATCGACTTGCAACTTTTCTGTGAGAGCAAAATTTTCGCATACGTATCTCTTTCAAGTGAATTCGAAAATCGAGTCCCATCAGGTGCCGATCCGATTTTCGATTATGTGCAGGATAACATAAACAATATGGGGTAGGATGGATATCGGAATGTAGTCCGGCTAATCACGAAATAAAATGTAGAGTCAATGGTGTTCAATCACAAGTTAATATATTTATCACATATTGCACAGAGTATATGAACTTTGACAGAGCGAACAGAAACATGTCCGTCTCGTACCACTCGTACGGAGGCGGATATGCAAAAGACGCAGTTAGATTCGCGTGGTTGGATGCCGCATATGTCAAAAGATCATGTAATCGGTAAAAATCAATAATCGAGCCGTGATCCCCAAAAGGCACGGAAGCATTACGCATACACAAAAAGTATCGACCAATGATTGACGTAGTAGCTGCGACGCGCGCATATGGCGAACGGACCAGCAAACCGAAAATATAAGCGGGAAATTTAAAATAATGGCTTATACCTTACACTTTTCAGTCTTATTGTTAGAACTTTAAGAATTCTTAGAACAGTTTTCGAAATCTCAGTTAATATTACCTTCTATCGGATATTCTTCTGGCTTTGCTAATTTTCGAGATCTTGGATTACATAAAAATAATAAGTGATGATAATGATAAGTTACATTATGATGACAATAAGTGATCACTGACTGCATCAATTGTAATTAACATTTTTTGATTTATCAATTTACGGCATAGAAATGAAAATCCCACAAAAAAAACGAGCAACATCAAAGATCTCGGTTACAATGTCAGAATAAATTCCTAAATTTCTTACAGTATAAAAAATTTAATTTTGTCGGTTTCCGTTAAGAAAATATTTCGAGTCCTCCAAAGTGAAAAATTTATACGAAAATGTACGTACGCAAATTTTCGAAGACTGACCCGAAATACACGTTGTTTATAATTGAAACATACACGTTGGAGCAAAACATAAAATTTATTAAAAATTGGAAATGCGAAAAACACTTTTTGCGTATCTTACAATTCAGACCATAAACTAACTTTTCGTCTTACTGACTAAAACTATACAATTGTACAAAGACTTTTAACTTCCTACAATATAGGTCATCACATTTGATAATTTACATTACATTTTATACATATAATACTTCAGATGGGTCTAAACAGAATCGCGCTTTGCGCTTCACCCATGCGTATATGTACACAGGTCTGCGTTAGTTGATGGTCTGTAGACCGTTTATTTGCAAACATAACTCCTATAATTGGCAGTATGCAGAAAGGAGAGAAAAAAAATCAGGCTGAAAAACACAAGTACCATTGTGTATGGTACCAGAGTAAACAAGAGATAGAAGCAAATACATGATAGATACGGTAAATATTTTGCCAAGCAGATAACAAAATAGCACAAACAGATGCGAACAGTTCTCCTATAGAACATTAATCCTATATTTAGATTGTTATACATATATGTATGTATCCACGTGACTGTATGTATATACAGTCTCAAGGGAAAGAAGAATCGACCAGCAATAGCATGTTAAACAATAGTCTAACGAGATTTAGCAGGCATTAGAAGAAAGATGAAACTCGATTGTAACAAAATTTGGGATGACGTATAGCTCTGCGCTAACACGAGTGATTAGTAATAGTAGGGTCCTCGATTCGATCCCGACCATTGTCCCGCATATTTTCCGTCAGAGAAAATTTACAAAGATTCAGCACCTGAAGGGAGTTTAAGTGCCTAGTGTTGGATTCAGTGTTTGCGATTGCAACAAAATTTACTGAAGAATCCGTTTTCTTCAATTGTTGCATCCTGATACAGATGCAACCTGTCTTTTACCACGACAACCTTTTTGTAATATCGAACGCAATATCAATACCTATTGAGAAGCAATTTTGCGATCTACGTGGGCAAACTACCGGTTTCACTCAGAATTATATGACCGTTAGAGAAATTAGTAGGTGTTATGGATGTACTGGGTTTGTTTTCAATTTGGCTAATATCGCAGTTATCGCATTTGTTATCTGTTCTTACATTATTATCTAATCTAGATTTATAAGTATGCTTAGGAGACGTTACTGAACTCGAAAGAGAGCAACTACATCCACTTTGGTTGCCATTACTAGAACTGTCGCTGTCGCTTTCACTGTCGACACTGTCAGACTCGGGGCTGCTCGAGCGTAATCTCTTTTCGGTAACATTTCGCAACATTTCGTTCTCCCGCCTTAACTGTTCGTTCTGCTGTAACAGATCGTCGATTCGCTGTTGACACAGCTTCAATTTCTTCGCCACCTCGCAATCCGTGGCGGACACATTTTTGTTCTCCGAATCCCTCTCCTCCATTTGACGAATGCCCTTATTACGTAATATCTTCGCCAGCGAATCCATTTTGGCCTCTAAATGCCTGTACTCCTGTATCAATTCCATCTTCGACAGCGTGCTCAACCGCTCCTCATGAACAGCCTCGTACGCGGTTGAGAATTCCTTCGTTAAAAACTCCTCCTCGTCCTCCGGAGATGAGTAGAAGTAATCCTCGTCGGAATCTACGCTAAAACTGGAGTCGCGGGTGCGCGACGGCGCCGGCGGCTTCTGAAACATAGCAGGTACTTCCAGTGACGCGGCTTCCGACAATTTCTGCTCGAGATCGGGCAGATCGCTGTGATCGGCCATAAGAAATTGCGTGGTGTTATACAAGGCCGGTGGTTGCCTGCTCATCTTGGCAAGCCTGATACAGGTGCTCCGCAACACTTGCTGCCGAGTAGTTAAGTGCTGATTCGAGTACGGCTTTAGTTTCCTGTACTTGGGTTTACCCCTCCGAGTTTTCCTCTTTTTCGCCGCGATGTCCGTCCCGTCCTCGTGTTGACCGCCGTCCTGATCGCCACTACCGCTACCGCTTTCCAATCTTCTACAGTTATTAACGGATGGGTACTGCAAAATAACAAATGCACGCCGTTAAACAAATTCGATAAACGAGAACTGCTTGATAATTATAATTTCACGTTTATAATCTGTTTTAAAACCGAGTCAGACTAGCAATTGTCAACTCGGATTGAATTGGGATTAGCGATTGTCTTCTAGCCAATGACAGCAAAGCAGCAAGCGATTTAATCGGTTCTCATTGGCTAGAGAACAATCGCCAATCCAATCCGAGTCGGCAATTGCTAGTCTGACTGGTTTATGGCCGATTTTTTCACTTTCCGATAAAATTATCCGGAGGTTAATCTCAAGTTTTAGCCAATCACGTGCATGGATCTGGTAGTTTATCTCCTGGTTAACTTTAACCGCAACATAACTGGATGTGAAGAAATCGGGCATTAGAACGAGTCACCGTAATTAATGAGGTTTATCGACCAATGGGCAGGATTTTCGTAGCTATGGGGTCCCGGGGCCCGGAGGTAATTGGAGAGCATCCGCACTATCGACTAAATTAATCTATCATCGATAAAAATATCTAAATACTTGTACGCTCACAAGGTAACATTAAATTGACGATTTTTGTTATTATTATTATACAGATGCTCCATAAATGGTTACTTATGCTTGCGTAATTTATAACGCAACATCGATAGACTATATCTTTTCTAGGATTGGGAAAGTTACTTTATAAAAGTATCCAGTTACAGTTACAAGTTACCAATTCTGAAAAGTAACGCGTTACAGTTACTCAAAAAGTAACGAATCGTGAAGGCCCGAACACACAAAAAACTTAAGCAGTAAAAACGTAAGACCTAAGAATTTCAACCAATCGGAATTTTCAGCATTGCTTAAGTTTCAAAATGGTTGCTTACGTTCTCGACGGTCATTGGTCATTTCCCTTAAGTCTTAAGTTTTACTGCTCAAGTTTTTTCGTGTGTTCGGGCCTTTACTTTGCAGTGAAAATAAAAATATCAAATTGCATTTGAATTGTAAAGTGTCGATAAAGGCGTTTATGCGTAAATGCAAGGCCTAATGCGGTCTGTGGAGGTTTAAAAAATATATAAAGTAACTATTAAATTAGTTAATTTCCAACCCTGTACATATGTGACACTAAATAAACTGTTTAAAAGTGAAAAATGTTTTCTTCGAGTAGAGACACGAAAATTCGGATAATCGCGCGCAAATCCAAATCGGATGCAAGTTTAATAAAACATATTTCATTGGGTCTGTTGTTTGTTGAACTTGTACAATTCATCTTTTCGCTTTTTCTTAAACGAGGGAATTCATCGAGGGAATTCATCTTTTCTCTTTCTTTCCCTCGTTTAAGAAAAAGCGAAAAGATGAACCGTGCGAGAAATTCAGCTAAAAAAGAACCATAGTCTCGATGTTGCGGGATCGGTTTTGGCGCCAGGTCCGCTTCAAACAAATAAACGCCAGGCGGTCAATTCGGGGACAACTAGAAAGAGACAAGGCTACTCACTTTTAGCATTTTCGCTATAGCGTAAGACCGGTATTCATAGTCAGATCTTATATTCAAGACCGTCTTGAATTTATCTGAAGGTGTTGTATGAAATATTTCATTGGCTACCTAACTATGAATACCGGCCACATGAATTTGTGTACACATCGACACATTTATACATTTCGCATATACATACATGGAAAATGTATACGTGTTCCAACGTGCCTAAATTCATATAGGAAGGCATCAGTGATTCCCAGTGTATGTATGTACATACAGGGTGTCCTGAAATTCGCGAATCAAAATACCATAGCAAGAAAGTCATCAAAAAAATAAATTAAAGTTATTTAACATTTTTCGTTCCGAGCAGTAGTTTTTTTAGATAAAAAGGTTCAAAACAGGCCAATCATACATTACGGTTGAATGGAAACCTGTCCATGAGTCGCGCGTCGATAGTTTAATGCACTAACACTATCGACGCGCGACTCACGGACAGGTTTCCGTTCAACCGTAATGTATGATAGGCCTGTTTTGAACCTTTTTATCTAAAAAAACTACTGCTCGGAACGAAAAATGTTAAATAACTTTTTAACTTATTTTTTCAACGACTTTCTTGCTATGGTATTTTGATTCGCGAATTTCAGGACACCCTGTATAGCAAAACGTCAGGATGTGATAATGAACGATGAAATTCATATTACACCGCGAACTAAATATTTCAAATTCAATTGACTTTCTAATCTAGCCAATTTTCAACCGTTCGCATTTCAACAAGTACAAACTCCCGGTGAAAACGACCCGTCCTGAAACAGACCCTGTCGGCGAACAAAGGCATTTAAAAAGTATCGTCACTTATTGATCGACCGGGCCTTACATTCCCTCCGTACGCGCGATTGGCGCTCCGCTCCGTGTTCTTGCCGACAGATCGCGGCACTCGCCTGGCGACCGAAGGCACTGACGTAGTAGGCGTTGGCTCATCCTCTGCGCCCTTCGCGTCGCGTGCACCATCGTCCGCGCCGCCCGACACTTTCCTCGTCGCCTTTACCGTCCTGTGCGGCTCCATGCCCGTAATACACACCGGAGCCCGTTAATACGCGATGGCACGATCACGCACCGCCACCGAAGAGTCACTCTCGCGTACTGGAACCAGCCGCCGCGGCTCTAGTAACCGTATGCCCGTGCCGTAAACAGCGAGCGAATCGCCATGTTTGATTTGCCCGTGATTCTACGTACGATAGCAAGGCGCGACATGCTGACGTACCGTCCCTACCCCGACTATCGCGCGGCCCACTCTTGCGCCATCACATCGCGTTGCGTCGCGCCGCGCCGCGCCGCGCCGCGGCCGTTCCGTTCCTCCGAATCGCGACAGCGCCTTCTCTCGCGCATGTTGCTTCGATCCTGCTGGATCGCGCTGCGCTGCGCTGCGCTCCGCAATCGATGCGACACTGCGCACAAATGTAATTCATATAACTCGCGTATACGTAACTTCTGTAATTATCAATGATCGCGGTTAGGCCGATGGCAGAGAACGATCTGTAAACGCTTAGGTCGTAAACGTAAGGCGAGACGGGGAAAAACTCAAGTCGTATACAATAGACTTTCGCGACTTGCTACAGAATCGTAAACACTTACGACAGTTCTTCTGCTCAGGCCCTAAGGCTATTACATAATAATATTACATAATATTACATTTGTCGTATACGGAAGAAAATGACATCACACCCCGATAGCAAAATGACTCAAATATTGTGCAATAATTGCATCGTCCAAGAGGAGAGAATTTCACAATGATTGCATTAGGGTGATTCGCCAAAACGCAGCGGTTTTGTAGGAATAAAATTTCTAAGTGGTATTTGCCCAAAAATCGATACTCTCAATTTAGGGGATAAATCATGCACAATTATTTCGACACTGAAAAGCAAAATTGCCCAGCAACGCAGTTACGTGTGAAGCCAACGGCACACGATACTACTTTTCCTACTGGATTGCTTACGAGAGCCAATGTAAACATTACATTTTTTAAATTCATTTTGTCATTAAAAATATGTTAATTTTACGCAAAATTTATTTCAAATTATTTTGAGATCTGCATTTATTTTGTGTTAAAGTATTAACAGAGTATTAGTGTGATCATTTAACATATTTATATTATGTTAAATTAACAGAAACATTTGTGCGGACCGTTTGGGACATGTGATATCTGTTAAATTTAACACAAATTTTTCAACTGTGTACGCATAATTCCAGCATTCCAAGTTTCCTCGAGATTTTGTCACATAATTTGCTAAGTGTCTGCCTATCGTACATTTCGCTAAGTGTTGCATATCTCTATCAGTAAAAATTTATTGTGCAGTACCTAAATACAAACGGCTAATAAATTTAACTTGGACAGCAACAGTATTAGCTGTTCCTACTTTAAGGACACATCCTAGCTATTACAGCTATTTATTAGCTTCTACTGCTGATCTTTTTTTTCCGTGTACAACAACAAAGTTTTCAAGCCTGTCGATTTAGGCCCGGCTTCACCAATGTTGTTTAACTGTAAGCTTAGCTTAATTCGTTCCTTGTCTCTTTAGGAAGAGACAAACATGAATTAAACTCAGATTAAAGTTAAGCGACGTTTGGTGAACCCAGGCCTTAAGCATTTACGGCTAACGGGTCGTTTTCTGTCATCAGCCTCACTAATGAGCACAGCAACGACAGTAACGTAATATCCCAATTGTCGTAGGGCAAGCTTTTCGAGCGCGTTTATTGGTCGCTGAATAGAAAGACTCTCGAGAAATTGTCTGTTTTGTAGCCGATCAATACCCTTGAAAAACTTGCTGTACGACAAATAAAGCTATACCCTAAGGGTGGACGGTTCTATGAACAACAGAGAGGACCCCTTGCAACCAGGTCATAAATCATTTTGTTGCTCCATTGTATTTTCTCGCTAGCTGCTAACAAAGTGGGCCTGCGAATCCTTTAGCTTCCCGTATGTCGGTCACACTCGATTAGTCATGTTCGCGCGTGTCCTTGTGCTTCTCCTGAGGATGTACGCACTTTATCTGTCAGATCTCCGTTGAAAGTAGAAATCGCATTATGGAAGATACCACTCGAAAGTAGAAATCCCCCCAGTAAGCAAAAAGTTAACAGTATACAGGCAGATATTTGGATAAAATGTTGCGGCGCGGATCGGCGTCAATCGCGTTCGTGTTTATTTTGTATTCCACCAGCGAGAGATCGACCTGCCGCCGCGATCCGCCAGCGGATTGCCAGCGGAAAACTCGCGGAGTCCGTAGTCTCGTAATGGCCGTTTATTTAAAGGGCCGTGCATTTAAACGTCTCGGTTATCGAACGGTAGATTTCATTCGGATTTTCAATCCGCCACATTCCGCTAACAAAATTGTATTACGTTCATTCACGCTGGCGGGTGCCGTCAACGAAATTCGTAGCGGCCGGATTTTGCGAGGGTCTGTTTTTGACAGATCCGGCTATTGTTTCCGGGTCATCTGTAGCGCCGAAATCCAATCCCAATCGACAATGTCGACGGGCAATCGCGAGCGGTTTCAATTGAAAGGGATAAAAATATATCTTACAACAGGTACGACCAACTGTTTTTAGTTTCTCAATCAGCGAACCTGCTAAAGTCGCGCCACGTATATACAGCCTCACACACCGCGATCCGTGATGGAGGTGTAAGTGCGTATTGCCTAATCGTCCTTGCACGCACAAACGCGGAAAGCGTGTATTTTTATTCGGCGACGATCTCCGATCGCTACTCATGAAAATTCGCTTTCTCGCGTACGACGTAATTAGTCTGCCTTCATATACTTTGCATTTTTTAATGACGCAGTCCCGTATATAGGTATATTCCCGGTAAAAAGTTTTTCATGCACGAACATGAATAAATATATAGAATTATATAAAAATATGCATCAAATATGTCCATACATATTTGTATATTTCTATATAATTTTATATTATACAATTCTACACCGTTCTGTATTATTTTATAGATTTGTACATGCTATTGCATGAAAACTTTTTTTATGTGAAAACCGGCTCATTTATAATTATATGTAATTGTGTATAATTTGTACAAAGTTATGCAATTATAAATAAGCAATTTTTCACGTTAAAACATTTTTCATATAAAAGCAAGTATAGATCGATAAAATTATATAGAACTCTGTAGAATTGTATAGAACTATATAGAAATGTACATTGTAAAAATATGTATGGACATATTTTTTTGACGTATAATTTTATATAACACTATATATTTACGTGTGCTCATGCGTGAAAATTTTTTTACCGGATTCGGACGTCGTGGAAACTACCGTGATAACATTTGACGGATTCCCGTAATAAAAGAGATCAACACGGAGATTAGGAATAATCGTGGGATAGCACAATGAATGAAAAGATAATCTGAGATTAAATCGAATTGTATTAATTATTTATAGCTAATAAATAATTGAAAATTTTCCAGTTAAATATTACAGTGCAATTATCATTTAACGTGTCGTAGTTAATAATTATATAACGAACTTACGATGCTGGAAAAAAGAAAAAGGGGAAGGCGAGCTGAACAGATAGAGAGATTGATAAAAAAGATTGAGAAAACAAAGAACAGGGTGGAAAGGAGAGGGGATAAAAGATTAATACAATTATAGCGAATATACTTTCATAATTGCGTAAGCGTAAATGCGCCGTTTACAAAATTACGCGCCGCTGTTACGTAAGATCGCCAAGCGATAATCTCGTGGCGTCTTCGACTCTCTCGCGCGCTCCATCAATTGGCAGTTAGGGGGTAAAAGGGCGTTCGCTCGCAGGCGGGATCATTCGTTAAACTGAAGACGCGCGTTGCGTTTGTGGCGACGTTACGCACTTACGTCGACGCTCCGTGCCGCGCCACCCGATCGCATTGTGCGATCGCGATCGACTCCGCGGGAGGAAAACCGGCAACTTTCGCAATGTGCCAGTGCGAGCGTGTACATCCTTCGTTACAAAATGCAATTTCACGCCGTAGGTCGTTGCACTCCGCTATTCTCCGTAGGCCGACAAGATTCGCGCCTCTTAGGGGAAGAAAAAATTAAATTACTTGTCGAGAATAACAGCTGCAGCTTCCCCCCCCCTCTCTCTCTCTTTCTCTCTCTCTCTCTCGCGCGCGCGCAACAACTATACAAACCGATGTACCTTCTTCAATTCAGCGACGCGACATCGATTTGTCGCTGTTATCGTCGACGAGGTTGCTTAATGAAAGACAAATACAAATATCGCTAACGCGAGGTATCGCTGGGATAACGCCGGAGGATCATCCGTCGTGAGAAAAAGGGGAGGGAGGGAGGAGAAGAAGGCGAAGCTCGAGTAATCCTCGAAGAGGAGATAAGAAAGCCAAATCGCGATAGCTTCGTCAAGCGTGGTAGGAGGGGAGTAAGAGTGATGTGGCTCCCGACGACGATCGCACGTAGCAGGCCTCTTTCTTCCTCGTTCCTTCTCCCTCCCTCCCGCCCCTCTCTCTGTCGCCGTTAGTGCATACATTCGTTTATTTTAGCGTACGCGCCTAACGATGCGTGCCGAGCATTACGTACACCCGTTACACGATTCGCGAGAGCGCGCGCACACGACGCACGCACGTACGCACCTTACGCATCGCCGATATACAATCCCGCCGCGGGTGCAACGTACGTGAACGCGCGGAGGACTATAAATACGGGAAGTTCGCTGCGTGAGGGAGGTCTACATGCGTCTCATCTCCGTGGCCCTGCTTTTCCTCTGTTTCCTTTTCCTTTCCTCTTACCCCCCCCCCCTCGTTTTTCCTTTGTTTCCGTTTTTTTTCGCCTCTAAACGCGCGGACGCCATCCCACGCGCGGGATGAAGACGAAAGGAGGGGGACAGCAAACGGCAGGAGGGGCGAGGGGATACGACATGAGGGGTATTTAACTAACTTCACTCTCACTCGCGTGTGAGCGCGCGCGCGCTATCACCGACGCCGCGAAAGGACAAACAAAAGGAATGAGAGATGCTCGACGTGCGGAGAAACGCTCGCTGGTAGTTTACGAGAGGGACAAAAACTACGTCGTGCCGCGCGTTAATTTACATAAGCGTCTCGGGCGCGGTGTACAAGAGCCTCGACCGATAAAGTACGGTTCAAGCGCAAAAAAAAATATATGTATATAATAGCTGATGCTGCCCGAACGTCTCGCTATAACTGAACTATTCACAGGTGTGTGCGTAAGCGAGCTCTCTCCCGCGTGTCGGGTTACTCGTATGCGTTACAGCGCGGCCTTAAAGGCCGCCGCACACACAGGTTCGCGTATGTAACCGTAGCTTACAATGCTTGCAATGAGAGAGACAGAGACAGAGCGAGATAGATAGATAGATAGATAACAGGGTTGGGAAGTAACTCGTTACTTGTAAACGAAGTTACAGCTACAGTTGCTTTTTTTGATAACTCTAACTTAACTTCGTTACTTTCTCTCCAGCTCTAACTGTAACTTAACTCAGTTACATTTTTTCGATAACTGGTAACTAATTTAATGGTTACATCAAGAGTTACTTTATATATTTTTTCAACCTCCACAGATCGCATTAGGCCGTGCACTTGCGCATAAACGTCTCTATCGACGCTTTACAATTCAAACGCAGATTTGCCATTTTTATTTTTGTCGCAAGAAAGTGACTGCAAAGTAACGATTCGTTACTTCTTGAATAACCGTAACTGTAACGCGTTACTTTTCAGAATTGGTAACTTGTAACCGTAGCTAGTTACACTTTTAGCAAAAAAAAACTGTAACTAGATTCTTTTATAAAGTAACTTTCCCCAACCCTGATAGAGGGAGCGCGCTCGGCATGCGAAAATACAATTAATTTATATTCGACGATTTTTTTTTCGTCGAAATGATTCGTGCGCAAAACGCCGCCGTACCGCGCTCTCGCGTGTGTCGAGGAGCGTTGCGTGTTAAATTTACATAAAACGTATAAGTGCATAAGCGCGTACGTAAGTACGTCCCGGACGAGAGAGACGGCGGTGAGCCGGGGTTATTATTTCAGGTGTTCCACGCGGGTATCCCCCGCGCGTATAACTGGGTGGCACTCTCGTACACGCGGGCTCGTTAATGCCTCAACAGACGAATTTATGCGCGCACGCACATCTCTCCCCAGGTGGTCCGATAAACACCTAAATTCACGTATTAAGGCATTAAACGACCCCGTGTTGTATGTACGTGCGTGTTGCGCCCGCCTATGTCAATTCGCGTGTGCTGTGGCCTGAAGTCGTCATCCTTCGCCGCGCACGATCGCGACCCGCACACATTCGCGCTCGTTTCATCCGTGTGCGCCTGTTCTATGCGCTATCTTCACTCGGAACCTACTTTTCGCTCTCTCGGTGTGCCTCTGGTGTGCATGTGTGTGTATGCGCGCGTGTGTGTATGTGTGCTTGTCGCGGCGCAAATGCGATACACTTACATATGGGTAGGCACGGCGCGCATGCGAGAGTGCGACAGCACAGTGCGGATTACAGGTTACATTTTTGTGCGTCTTATTTGGAGAGAAGAGGGATCCCGCGAGAGTCATAAGGGAATCGAGCCGCTCTGTCGCAACACCTTCCTCGACGACGCGTCTGCAGATCTGAAGTCTCACGCGTGCCGGATTCCGCGTCTGTTCTAGGCTCTAGCGATTGTCCTCTTTTGTCCCATGCCGAACCGTTGCGAGCCAGAGAAAGAAAAAGCGCGCGCGCGCGCGCGAGAGAGAGAGAGAGAGAGAGAGAGAGAGAGAGAGAGAGAGAGAGAGAAAGAGAGAGAGATGTATAATTTCAATCAGAGGCCAATAATAAATATATATCTCGTGCCAATCCTCGCGAACGAACGTTATAGAGATTACTCTCGCATTCATGTCTGTCCCCATCGAAATCTCAACTTCCACCGAAGTTATATCGGTCTCGCCGCGCGATACACTGAGAGGGAGGGGACGGTAGAGAGAGATTGAGTTAACCAGGACTTAGCGTCGATCATCGCTCGGTGCGCGAGCAAGCTGCGGCTCGGTTCCGATCGAGAATGAGCGAGCGAGCGAGCGAGCGAGCGATATATTTCGGTATCGACGATCGTGTCGCCGAGAAGTCCCTTCGGCAGGGCAGGCTCTCGACATCAATCGTCCCGTTGCCGTCGCGCAGTTTCTACGCGCTACCGCCAGCTACCGCGCATTTACGAGCCGCGACGAGTCCAACGCTCTTCCCCCCCGGCTCTCGCGGCAAAACCAGCTCGAATAGAATTCTCCGGGCGCGCGAATCGATGCACGTGGCACGGGATACACGCGTCCACGCCGCGCAGCGCTCGGAAGGAATCCCCCAGGAATCCCGCGCGGGGAACCCCCCCCTCCCCCGAGAGGCTTATTGTATACTCGTAACCGCGTCGCTATTCGAAAGGATTCGGCGGTTGGTGGTCTCGCGCGCGACGATAGTCCATATTTAGCGCAGCGCGCACGGGGACGCGCGTTTTCGTGCGTGCGTGCGTTTCGTAACGCACGCCGGCTTCGTTACACGCGCGCATGCGGACGTAACGCGCGATAGCGCGCGGTCCCTCGCAGCCCGCGTCTTCGCGTGTCCTCTGCGCCCGCCTGACCCGGTATCGGGAGATGATTAAGGGATACAAAGTATGTTCCTCGCGGCAGTGCCGCGCTGCACTTTTCTCTTTAAAATGAAGCAGATGGTTGTATGTACATCGAGGCGGGGGGAAAGAGGGAGAGAGAGAGGAGAGACGAAAGACGCGGAAAGCTCGGCTACAATAAGCGAGAGCCTCTTGCATCGGCCGTTATCAACCAGGAGCTGAAACCAGCGGTCGATCGGCGTCGCGTCGCGCCTTTCGCGACAAGGCTCGTCGCTCGCGTACCGTCCGTGTGATCGTACGCGTATGAAAACAATTTTTGACTCGTTGCCGAAGATATCAGAGTGTTCCAACCGCGCTTGTTTTCTTTTCCCCTCCTCATGTCTCAACCGAGGTATGAGATACCTTGCTCCTTTTCGTTCTTTTTCTATTGAGAGAGAGGATGAGCGCGGGTACGTGCGTGCGTTCATGCGTGCGTGCGTGCGTGCGTGCGCATGTGTGTCGCGTATGTGTGCATTTTGTGTGCGCGCGCGCGCGCGCGCGTCTGCGCGCGCGTGTGTGTGTGTGTGTGTGTGTGTGCGAAAATATGTACGAATGATAATGTAGGATACTAATATGGGATAACGATTTTATTGCGACAACGATAATGCCTTCAAAAACAGCATAGATGGCGGCATCGTAGCTGATCGTTCTAAAATTACGATTGCGTTTACTTTGGGCGCTCGCTTGCTGAAAGCGTCGTATCGTGTCTCTCTCGGGCATGTGACGAGCAACGAAGATACAGGCGATGCTTCGGCGCGTGCGCCAGTGATCCCAGGACCAGGGTTGCCAGATATTTGAACTGTCAAATCGCCATTAGAGGTCACTCAAATCGTTAAAAAAAAGCGCCAATTTCAGTACTGTCTCAACTAGTAGAACAAGAAATCAAGATGAAACTTAAAATAAAGTCAAAATGATGTCATCTTGACTTTTATATAATTACAAGTAATATATATTTGTCCTTTTTGAACAGACTCGGCTATAATAGGACGAGATTGAAAAAACATTATGATTATTAAATCTAGATTATATATTTTGAAAAAAAATACAATTACCTCTTTAATGTTCTTCAATGAATTACATAGATATAGTGCATTTAGTCTTGTTATAAACTAATCTTGTTATAAAGAAATGATGGACGTTTGTTTAAAATTGAACTATCCAAAACAACGGAAACGTATCTATGCTATTTATATTCAAAATAACGGGAGTGTATCGAATTTAAACAAACAAAATTAAATAATCTGTTTGATACACGTGAAAAAACATTTCCACACGCACTGTATAAGAAAACTATCAAGTATCGTCAAAATAAATCGTCCAAAAAAAAATCAAAATTTCCAAGTCGCCAATTGCAATTTTTCAGAGCCAAATGGTCTTTAGAAATCGCCTATTTGGCGTGAAATCGCCAAATCTGGCAACTCTGCTCGGGACGGGACGCTTCTTCGCGCATGCGCCGCATAGAACTTCATTGCGGACGACGTTTACGCCGCGCGTGCGCGAAAAAGCGAACTGGTTTCGGAACACGGCGTGCGCGTGGTCCGTTGGGGCGATCGCGGCCTGTATAGTTTTGTTGTTATATACGCAGAACTGCGTCTGAGTTCGAAACACCGATCTAAATGGTAGGAATGTCATTTTAGGAATTTATTTGAAATTGAAAAATAATGGCATAAAAGTCGCATTTTGAGAAAACACAGAGTCTTAATAATATCGAGTCCTACGGGACGTATTGTGAGTGAACGCGTGGCAACTGTTGCGCGCAAATATTTCGTCATCTTTTCGACGTTAATTAACGTATCATGTTATTCTAAAAAAAATAATTTCGCAGCGAAGACAGCCGTGCGGTTCAGTATAAAGTGCCATTCAGTAATATGACTTTAGGATTAAGTAGAAGGTTAAGTTTTCTCAATGACGAATCTCGTCAATCTTCTCCCGATAAGCTGCTGCTTTCGGCGAGGCATTTAATTATATCGAGAGTATCGAGTTTAAGATATTTGATGAGGACAAACGATTTCTTTTCCAGGCAAGCACGCTTGTGGCAGCAGGTATTGGCCTGGCGGCCGTTGGGTTCGCCGGCCGTTATGTTCTCAGGAGACTACCGAATTTATCGCAGAGGATGGCAGAGACTGTGAAGAGGCTAGATTCCCAGGTAAAAATGTCTGCTTTACCTCGACAGATTTCTCGTAGTTCCATCACATGCGTACAAAAGTACTGAGACGTGATGTTTACAGTCGCTAGCGAACAGCAAGTATTACAAGGGTGGTTTCGAGCAGAAGATGACCAAGCGAGAGGCCAGTTTGATCTTGGGCGTGTCTCCTACGGCTAACAAAGGTAAAATAAAGGAGCAGTTCAAAAAAGTAATGGCTGTAAATCATCCAGATCGTGGCGGCTCCCCGTACGTCGCTGCAAAAATTAACGAGGCAAAGGATTTGCTCGAGAAGTAACGGCAGACTTGTAATATATTTAGAAGCCAAATTGTACAGTTAATTTAATTCTATAGCCATAGTAAATATACTCTATTTTTGAAGCTATATATTTATAGGATAATTTTTTTAACACCCGCTTTAACCAACCAGATCAAGTTCTTAACGTTTGTGTATTAATAGAAGCCGCACGAGTATAAATTTAGAGTCAACTATAAGAAAATATTGCACAAGAACTGTTCTTCCTCAGATGTCCCATTATTTCCATATTATTTCTCCGATGGGGTATCGCGATTATGCAACTCATCGTGACTTATAATACTTAAAATTTTATTATCCTCAGTAAAACATTAATAACTTGGGTTTTTTTATTACATTGCATATATACAATAATAGTCTAAGGTAAACTTAGAAAAATTGAATAAATGTATCATATCACAAAATAAACATTATATGTACATTAATATAACAGAATTATGCAGTAACAATATAATACAGCTTTGTATCCATTGATTTTGCAGAAGATTCAAACGAGTAACACAATAGACTAGAATATTTCGGTGTATATGAAAAAAGTCTGTCATTAATACTATCGTTCCAACTTATCCTGTTTCCGTTTTATACGTTGTTGTATGAATTTTGTTCTTAATTTTGTTATTGTATTTCCAGGCAGTGATCCAGGTACTTTAAAAATACTCTGCAAAACAGAAAAAATATCTCGGTAAATAATCAACTCCCTTCACCATTTGCACGCGGGGTTACACGCACTATACGGCCGCATACCTGCATAAACTCGTGACATCGCAGAACAATACTATCTTTCGTGATTTCCTTAAAACATTCGGCTAATGTTGTAAAATCTTGGCAAGCCAATAGATTAGATCTGTTCCTTTTTATGAGCGTCAATGCGACACGGAAGATAATTTTGGTACCCTCGTAAAAGAGACAGTCCCAAATACGCAGAGTAGTCTGTGAATTTGAGAGATTTATAATATTTTCTTGAAATGGATCTTTCATATGGAAAATAATGATGTTTGCACGTATTTCATTATTGTATACTAACAATGTTCCATGCTTTGATACACAGGGTGTTTAAGAAAAACCATTCAATATTTATATGGTAGATAGGACACACCATATTGAGTAAAAGAACCTAAATAAACATAGGTCGAAAACTCAACAGTTTCTGAGATATGAACATTACAGGCTTCTACATGTCGCATGCGATGTTCGCCCTCGATCCCCTGATTTTAATCCGTTGGATTTTTTTTGGTAGGGATATTTGAAAAGCATAGTGTGTTCTTCGCCGATAAATGACTTAGAAGAATTACGTGACCGAATCCAGCGTGCTTGTCAAATAATTCGACAGAGACCTGGAATTTTCGAGAGTTCGCGACTCTGTAAGAAGATACCAAGCGTGTATGGAAATGAAAGGACATGTGGAACACCTTCTGTAAATATCGAGATAATAACTTAGACATATTATCTTCTTCTCACGCCGCATGCGACATAGAAGCCAGTAAGTCAATCATATGATGCTAACATACAAAAATGTTTATATCTCAGAAACGGTTGAGTTTTCGACCCATGTTCACTTAGGTTTTCTTACTCAGTATGGTGTGTCCTATCTACCATATAAATATTAAATGGTTTTTTTAAACACCCTGTATATCTTAGTGTACTAACGTACCTCAATAGGTAAAACTTCGGCGAACAAGCACACAAACCATTTAGTCGTAATCACTGGCCAGGGCAATCCTATGTTTGTTACATGTTGATACACGTCTGGCATTTTTATCCTGTAAAAATAACATATACGTAGAGGAGAGTCCTCTATTATGAGATAGGTCTCTAATATGAGATAGCAGGGTTTCAACACCTAAATTCAATCCACAAATCTTTTTTCGATTACACAATCTAACAATGAATTTTCCACTAAACTCGATTTCGCTCCGAGGGCAATAATTTCATGGTGGAATCAACTGATGATGCCTATCAATTTAACAGAGACCCCGCTATCCCAAATTATATTATCCTATCTCATAATAGGGGACTTTCCTCTATGTATTATGTACGAATATTGCTGTTAAGTGAGACCGCAATGAATTCTGATTTACCTTACTAATTCTGCAAGCACGTCAATATCGATAAGTAGGCCGTCCATAGTGCGTGTATAATAGTCCGGTAAGATTTTATCAATTAGCACTTTCAGTAGCCAAAATGCTGATTCTTCGCTTTTTGTTACAAGCAGAAGTAAGCCCGCTATATAGTTTAAACCCTAAAAAAATATTTAAAATTTTCAAATCGGGTAGAACAAACCTCTGATTAGAAATTTCTTCACAAAATCATATTATTCGTGAAATTCGGTTGCTATTTGATTCGTGTATTCGACGAATTGTAGACGTTACCTGGCAATATCCAACAGTTTTGTTCTGGTGAGCAAAAGCCAGCAAAACATTATACAATTGATGCTGCTGATTTTCTGTATTATTAAAGAATATATTGTCCGGAAATGTTCTTGGGAGGTCAGTTTTAATAATCTCAGCGGTTTCTGCATTATGAGGGGATAATAATAACTTTTGGTAAATATCCGGCGACGCATTCTTCATGTCTTCTCCACCGCTCACAGCGAGCCATACCTATAATGATCCAATTTTTGTTCTTCCCTTACTGAACACTCCAAGCATAATAAGCCGAGCTCCATAATATATATTACCAATCCTCTGTATTCTCCTGGGATGCCCTTGCGAATGTATCTCTTGAGCGTGATACTTCGCTGCAGGGACTTTCCCTCGCCGATAACTTTCGCCCACTTTTTGGCCATTTTTGCGAGCACCTTGAGGTAATCGGACATAAAGTCTTCGTATGTTTCATAATCGAAGTCGTGTGGTCGTTCGAAACCATATTCGTCCACATCACTGGAAACAGATGTATGATATGAATAGATGTATAGTTATTATAAGTATATATATGTATATATATAATCATATAAATACACACAAGTAGTCTATACATATATATCTTACAAAAATACGCTGAAATTGATACATCAATTGCTACGTAAATGTCATGATTTTTATGCTGTTCTCATTACGGCGCGAAAAATTCGCAAATTAACATGCAAAAATAAAGGGAAACTAAAAGGAGGGAAGAGGAACGGGTTTTAACAGATTTTGAATCACGGGAGAAGGCAGATCGCGAGGGTCCTTCGTCTTCAAAGCGGGGCTTTGAGGGGCGGACATAACCTTGACGAGACAAAACTGAAAAGACAAAACAAACGCGATATTTTTGAATCGGCGACACTGTTGAGAATTGCGATCGTGCGTCGCGTGCCGCGGACGCGACGCGGCACGCGACGCGCGATCGTTCCGCGGAAGCAGAAGGAGAGGCGGTAGCGAATCACCTGAAGCATGAACTTGCCATGCCCTACGCAGCTCGATGGGCGTCGGGGAGATCTACGATCGCGCGCGCGTGTAACTGCGTCCATAGATATTTCGTGTACGAAACGCCCACGGGTTTCGCCTATCGGCACGTGATGCTCGATCGCGCCTGGAAATGCTTTGAAACGCGCGGAGGAAGGAGCACAGTGCACACACAGCTCTCGCGGCGCGCGCGTCCGTCGTGAGCGTTTCGTTTCGGACGCTCGAACGACGGGCAGAGAGGGTTGCGAAAGAGTCGTCGGGTTGCGAAATGCCCGCGACGCGAGAAACACCCGTGGAGCGTCCCCGCATTCGCGACGCTTCCGAAGTACAGACTTGGCCCGTCGCTTTTGTAAATTACGGACGATTTGTCGCCGCATCGCGCCACACTTCGAAACCCGCGGCGATTTAAAACGCGCGAAACAATCGATCAATTAAGCTGACTTTTCATGGACAGCGAGCAGCAGCATTTTAGTAAATTACCAAAAACTTTTAAGCCTCGTCTACATAGAAGTCGTAAAGTCGTAGTCGTAAGAATAATGGACTGCGATTGGTCAATTCCGTCAGATACATAAGAATTGACCAATCACAGTCGACTATTCTTACGACTACGACTTTACGACTTCTATGTAGACGAGGCTTTAGAAATTTACCAGAAAATTTTAGTAACTCACTAAAATGTTCTCTCACACTTGACCGGAAATGAACGTACTTTTAAATAATGCCTATTTGCAATCGTTTATATTTCATATGAAGACGTTTGAAGCGCGATTGAAAAGGTTTGCGAGTCATTTGTTTATTTGTAATTAAATAATTATGAATTTAGTTACTCCTGTCGAAAGAAGAGGCAAAATTCTATCGGTATCTTCTGATAGTGTTTTTCTTCTATAATATTGAATAATTTAAGATATAAGAAATAAAATTTCTGCCGTTCTGTAATATTATGAGATAAGATTTTAATATAAGATATCAGGTTTTCAACGTCCAAATTCAATCACAAATCTTTTGTTGCAACAATTACACGAACAATGAATTTTCCACTAAACAGATTTTACACCAAGGGCAATAAATTCATGGTGAAACCAACAGATAATGTCTATTAACTTAGCAGAAACTCCGCTCTCTCATATTAGCATCCTATCTTATAATAGGGGACTTTCTTCTACTTGCTTGTAAATTATCACTGGCGAAGAAAGTATCAGTCATGTATATATAAAGGCTTATGTCCAGGCATCGTGGACACAGGCCTTAAGAAATGCCTTACGTCACTTAGGCTGCATTTCCACTGAGCGCGTCTCATTCACACGTGACAGGAAATAATTTTTTTTTCAATAACTTCTATATGCAATCGTTTGTATTTTATATAAAAACATTTAAAGTACAATTAAAAAGGTTTGTGAGTAATCCAAATAATTTTAATTAATATTTATTAACTTGGAAGCTAGCCAAAATTTAGTTACTCCTGTCGAAAGAAGAGGCGAAATTCCGTAGTTCGATAATTTCCCTTCTATATTAATATTAAATGATTTAAAATATAAGAAATGGCAAGTTAATAGCGCAATATTTCGATTTGAAACGTGAATATAATATGCGCGGAGCAAAGTCGCCGGCAGTCTTTGAAGTTAGCTCAGAACAATTCTGTGTATCATCGTGGTAGGATCACTCGGTCGTTTCTCGCGTACAATACCCGCCACGCAAATTAATTTACTGTTACATTCAGTGATTCGCGTGAGTATCGAAGTGACAAATATTTGGTCCAGCAAGTATGTATATAGTATTGAAACGTTTCGTTGCTATACCCAGTGAGAAATGATTCGTCGATCGATATCGAAACGATGTCGAATCGACGTCAATTTGACGGTATCGATGTCGATTCGACATCGTTTCGACATCGATCGACGAATTATTTCTCACTGGGTAATATTAACAATGAACGCGGAATGAATCGGGACGATTCAATCGCACTTCAAATGTCTTTGTAGAAAATGCAATGATCGGTGTCGCGTTTCCTTCAAATTTGCACGAAAAATCCATATTACAAGATATTAAGATATTTCGTAAAATAATATTCAAACTGACACGCGTGGTGTTTTCGTTTGCGAACGCGACTCGCTTTGTTCTTTCGAGGTCACCGGAACAAAGCCGCCGGCAGGCAGTTTAGAACCGCACGTCGTAGCGTGAGGATCTCTCGAGATCGCTCTTCGTGTACAATACGTACATTTACCTGTCGCAATATCAATTAAGTATTACTCTCAGTGATTCGTGAGAGTGATCGAAGTGACAAGTACTCGGTTCAATTAGATATGTATGTATGTATGTACATATAATACATACTACAAGTGATATATGTGTCCACTCGTGGAAATCAAAGTGACACGCGGGAGGATCGAACTGTAACGACATCGCGTAATTTCGCACGATCTATGATCACAATTGATCATTCATTTAAGATACAGTTGAGTGCTGAAAACAGTTAATATCGAGAGTGTCGTATAAAGTGTCGCGCAATTATACTTTATTGCACTTTTCATAAAAATGAGCATTGTGTGAATTTGACAAGAAAAGAGGGTGACATCGAGCAACAGCGGCGCAATCGTGCGTTCTACTTCCGTGCGATAAAAGATCGCGATATTCGCGGGAGTGTCTGAAATGTAATGTCGCGCTTATCTCACGGCTGTCTCGTGTCGCGCTTTGAAAGCTCTGCCAGTTAAAATATTATTTCTTTAGATTCTCTCCGAAGGGAGAGAGAGGCCCGAGTAATATGTCGTATCGAGTGATTCTAATAACGAGACGCCGGAATACAGCACCCGTTCGTTAACCTTTCATAAATTCGTACGTTTCGCGCCATTTAATTAATGCGCCGGCATTCTTCTGTATGCACAATATTAATAATGTAGCTTCTAGATTCGCAAAATTTACGAGTTCAATACGCGTTGTGCGTGCAATATTTAATTTTAGCCGCGAGTTTTTGATTACTCGATGCGTTTATTTTACTAGCCGTCCACTTTTCTCGCGTATTATTGCGTCAAGTTACCGACGCATTCGAACGGGGTGCCGGGGGTGCTGGAGTGATTCTACACCCTTTGCACTTTTTGCATCTAGAACTGTCGATTTATGAAAACACTTGTGTAATATATAACAAATTGTGTGGCTTTTGTGTACGGACCGACAGTGTTTCACTAATCGGACTAAATCGGACAACAGCATGGTATCGTTGAAATTAAATTTAGAAGCCTAGCAAAAACATAGATTACAAGTGAATAGACTTTTTGTTGGGATTTTAAACTTCATTTCAATGATACCATGCTGTTCTCTGATTTAGTCCGATTAGTGGAACACTGTCGGTCTGCACACAAAACCACATAATTTGTATATTACACAAAAAAAAAAAAAACGTTTTCATGAATCGACAGTTCTAGGAGCAAAAGGTGCAAAAGGTGCACAATCGCTCCAGAATCTTCTCAACGTTCCGCGGAACGTATCGGGATAATCGTCGTTACGGTTCTTTCAAGTTTGCACGAAAAATCAATATTAACGTCGTCAAAACATTTCGAAGGTCGCTAGTGGATTTCCACGAAATCTTGGAGTTGTTTACGTCGGCGGGCGCGACCAGGGTTGCCAGATTTGGCGATTTTACGCCAAATTGGCGATTTCTAGAGACCATTTGGCTCTGAAAAATTGCAGTTGGCGACTTGGCGATTTTAATTTTTTTGACGATTTTGACTATTTTTTTGGCGATTTTTGCAATGTGGCGGCGAGTGTTGATTAATGGCCGATTTTTCACTTCCCGATAAAATTATCCGGAGGTTAATCTCAAGTTTTAGCCAATCACGTGCATGGAACTGGTAGTTTATTAATTTTCCTGGTTAACTTTAACCGCAACATAACTGGATGTGAAGAAATCGGGCATAAGTGTGATTCGTTGAATCCAAAGGTAAGAATCAATCATATTTAAATTGCTACTTAACTGCTTAGTGATCAGTCGAATAAATATATGTTTCTGAACGTCTCGAGTTATCTGGAATAAGATTACAAAATGCGAGTCTAGGCTTGACATCATTTTGACTTTATTTTAAGTTTCATCTTGATTTCTTGTTCTACTAGGTGAGATAGTACTGAAACTGGCGCTTTTTTGACGATTTGAGTGACCTCTAATGGCGATTTTGGCGATTTGGGTGACCTCTAATGGCGATTTGACAGTTTAAATATCTGGCAACCCTGGGCGCGACACGAAGTCACCGGCACGCAGTTCAGAGGTGTGCGTCGTAGCGGTAGGACCTATCGACTACTCTTCGCGTACAACACGCATTTGCCTGCCGCACAATCAACCAAGCGTTACTTTCAGTACTGATTCGCGAGTGTATCGAAGTGGAATACTCGGTGCGCATCGCACGCGATGATATATTCGCTCTCAAAGCGACGGGAGCGCCGAAAAACATCGCATCGCCTACTTTCGCGTAATCCGCGATCTCAAGTTCCATTGAAATACAGTAGAGTCTCGGGAACAGTTAACATCGGAAGTGTCATAGAAAGTGCCGTGTGATTATTGTCGACTGTACTTCCGCGAGTGTTGCGTGTGTTGCGATGCGGAAGTGCGGCGGTTCGTGTCGCGTCGCGTCGCGTTCGGGAGTGCCGTTTAAATCGAACTAAAGACATTTTCGAAGTTTATTTGAAGAATAGTATTTGTTAAGTGTCCGTGACAGAACAGAATATTTTACACGGACAAACGGGAGTGTACAATCGCGCGAAAGATCATTGCGTTTTCGCGAGTGTGCCGGAGGACAGTCTTCGTGGAGAAGGAGGCCTAAAGGCATCGGGCGCTGTACAATCAACGTACCGAATTAACGTACAAACTTTGCTGCTGCGCATCGGGTGGTAAGTTAGAAACTTTTTTTATTCAGGCAACGAATCTACATCCTGTAGATCGTAGATTGTAGATAGTAGACCATAGATTAGTATATCTCGTAGATCCGTTGCCCTAAAATGGATAGGTTACAAACAACAACGGCAATTCATTCGCTTATTAAATATGTATATTGAATCTCCGGAGAAAAGTTGAAACGATTTTCAATGTGAAGGGTTAGGTGCCCCTGGAATTCTTGTGTCTCGGTGCCTCGAGAGCAGTGGTTTCGGCGAGAGTACGCGACGTCGATTCGCGAAATTAATTAGAATGAGAAAAAAAGAAATAAAAAGAAAAATCCCGATACGTATAATGTAAAGAATACTATAATAGTGAAAATATCTGGGGCCCGATTCTCGAAATCATTCGAAGAAGAAACGTATACGAATATTCTGCTCTGGCAAAAAAGATGCAAGTCGATTGGTTAAAGCCATGCGAATAGCCAATCAACTTACAACCTTTCTGTAAGAGCAGAATTTTCGCATACGTTTCTCCTTCGAATAAATTCAAGAATCGAGCCCCTGAGTCAATGATTGAAAAACGACTGTCGTTAACTCTTTGCCGAAATGACGGCTATCGGGGGCAATCGCGGAAGAACCTGGGATTCATTCCTTCCTGTAGAGTTTCTTTCACTTTCTTTTAATTTCATGGAGTTCAACAAATCAAAGTATATTGAGCTCATTTTCCATGTCGAGAATCGTTGAACCACGGAATCGCAGAAATGACGCGAATTAGGGCGGATATTACACAGTTGGAAAATTTGTATTTTCTTGTTAAAAAAATGCCGGTTAAAATTGTTGTATTAAATGTTTAACACATTCACGTGTTGATTTGACTTATTGCTCTTGTATTAATTGACCTCAAATGTAAAATTATTCATATAAGTGAAAAGAAATGTTAAAACAACACAATGTGTACTTATTTTTTAATCTTACACATTACATATGTTCTATATTATTAGTAACAAGATTTATTTGTTAAAATTTACAGAATAAAATGTTGATTTTATTCTATATAACATAAGTTAGCGATTTCGAACCGTCATTTGGCTTATTACATCTGTAAAATGTAAAAATTACATTTTTTAAATTCATTTTGTCATTAAAAACATATTAATTGTACACTAAATTTATTTCAAATTATTTTGAGTTTTGCATTTATTTTGTGTTAAAATATTAACAGAGTATTAGTGTGATCATTTAACATATCCATATTATGTTAAATTAACACAAAAATTTGTGTGGATCGTTTGAGACATGTGACATCTGTTAAATTTAACACAAATTTTTCAACTGTGTAGTGATGTATTCGTCGAGCTAATCTCTTGTAGCCTATCCATTTTTTTATTAACGAATTGACGTATAAAGTGAAACAATATGACGTGAGATTCTAATATATTTTGTCGATACATTTTTTAAAATGATTTTTATAAATTATTTAAAGTTATTGATTAACTAATAATATTCAATTGTAATATCGGTATCTATCGCGCAGGAGGTTTTTTTCCTTTGGATCTTACGTCATTTATTCTGCATGTCTCATGATACTCGTATATGTATAACACTTTCAAGATGCGTGAATAAGTACATGCATAGCCATGCGCATCTTTGTATTTTTGCGGTCGATTTTCGCGATCGATTTTCGCGATCGATTTTCGCAGTCGATTTTCACGATCGGTTTTAAAAAAATTTTTCAAGCAATTATTAATTGTTTAATTTTATCCATATTATAAATTTAATTTATCGCGGAATATATTTAAAATAAATATAACGCGAAGTAAATTTTTTTCTACATCTATACTTGAATTTTGATTTCAAAGATCGAGTCATGAAGAGATGATCAATTTTTTCAAATAAAAACGGGAAAATATAATTGATCAGTTTTATACAGTACATTTTTTTTAGATTTATTATTTTCTTTAATTGTATTCGTGTAATCGGACATTTTTCGATACGATCGACGCTCGTGTATTATAGTTCGAACCGTACGAAATATCTGTCGGTGACGATAACAACTCGACTATGGAAGAAGTTTCCTTCCTTCCTGATCTCTGGTCAAAATGACCAGATTGTATGGCCAGGAGCAACGAAAGGTATGTCCAATCTGGCCCAACGAAGGAAGACTAGATACGACGAGGTAAGTGGTCAATATTGGCCACTCTGATGGAGTACCTAAGTAAGGTGCTGTACAAAGTATACTTTGATTTCTTTTGATTTGTTACAATTCGGGTGGGTTGTTCTTCTTTATACATTCTCGCATATGTGCGAGATTGAAAAGATTCCTATTAAACCCTAAATCGCCCGCGTATTATAACTCGAAATCGGCCCTTTTATAAAAATCGCGTTGCGGTTTCAGTAGAAGACTTTTTTAGGTCTATTATGTTGAAATACGGGTAGGTAGGAAAATGGATAGGGCTATAAATCGGAATACGCATAGGTAGGGATTCCGGTAAACAGGAACAGGGGGACATAACTTGATAATTAAAAAGATAGTTAAAATTATAACTGTATCGAATAAATTTTAATTAAATAGGAATTACATAGTATTTGAATCGATAGATTTTTGTTTGCAATTGATCGATAAATTTTCCTTTACAACTTACTTTTTCGTATGCACATTAATAAAAAATGTTACGCGCCCAGTGCGAAATCATGTGACTGTTCTTCTGCTGCACGTTGTAAGTAAAATCTGTACGATTTGAGGCATGTTCTATGTAAATGCAGTAACATTTCAGGTAAAAAAAGTATCTTCACCTCGATCTTCACTTACTACTTATGTCCATTTCCCTTCGGATCGATTGAGATCGAGCTTTTGAATGTGTAATTCTTAATCTAAAAATATTTTTCAAATTTTCATTGGATTTGCTATAAATCGTATAACGATTTTAGAAACAAGAACACAGGATAAAATATACTCTTACATAAACTAGCTTCTTTAGTTATTTATAATTATTGATGCAAATGAACAGTTCTAGCTGAAGAGAACAATCCATGTTTAAAAATGAAGGTAAACAGCGCTCAAGAATAAAAATACACACGTGAGCCAGGGATTCATTTTTTATGTGATTGTATAATAATTTAATAATTATCATAATATTGTATATAATCGTCTTCAATAGTTTCAATACATATATTACTTTTTACAATAATATTATTTACATATAATAAGCAATACACATTTCTACACAATATTAAAATTTGTACGGTAATTTGAGGGTATATTGCTTTCATTTTATCTGCATATTGTATTTAATTCACATCGCTTATCGTGTACGCGCTTATTTCACATATGAAATGAGATCGCGCGCAAAGTGTGCCAGCCATTTATTATCTGGGGCTCAATTCTGTACACGCTTACTGACAAATGTAAGTGTCGTTAATGATGTGCGTAGCATTTTTATTATATATTATACCTGCGCAACAACACCGACAATTGTCGGTAGGTGGTATCAGAATACAGCCTCTGACTAATACTATACGATGCACAGGGATAAGATTTCGTTCGCGCATTTTTGAACATGAATTTACTAGATATTTACACGCAAAAAGTTTCTTATTGGGTTAGACACGTACAAAATGGACCACGAATAAAAGCGTTTCGATATGGAAGCAGTAATATTAACAGATGCAAGTGATAGGAAAAGCAAAGGCCGATGAGTCATTAAGATAGATGGACGGATAAAATGATTCGATGATTATTTCAGTTATTAAGTTGTTTCGTCGTGTTCTTTCGTAAGAAGTGTATTTCACGGCTGCTTTTATCAATTATTCAATTAAAATAATTGTCGAATTAACCTAATAATAATAATATGTCAAAATTTATTACAAAATACAGCAGACTCTCGATAATTCGGCCAGTCCTTGCATAAACATGTGCCAGATTTGCGATTTGCTGGATTACTAAGAATGCATAAAAGTTTTATAGTAATTCATCAGTTTCAGTAGTTCTTTATTCTATTTAGGGTAACAAAGTGAATAGAATATACAATTTATAAGCAGACATACACAATAAACGTTACTTAATGCCTATATAATGCTTATATGTGGCTAATGTTCCGCCACTTGGGCGCCACACATTCCGCTTGCTAACATTTAAAAAGAAATTATAGTCACAAGTGGCCGAATTAGTGAGAGTCCACTGTATTAATATTGTGAAATTTTTGACGTGGTAAATATTATAAACATAAATTATATAATTTTGTGAACATAGCGAGATAGTACAATTTCCTACTGAAAATTCTTCCTGCGTTTTTCATAAAATTGAATATAATTTTGAAAGAGATAAAACCTCTTAACATACAATGAAACGAAGTAGCCAAAGAGATGTACAACATACACATATACATACATATCAGTACGTCTCTTTTTAGTTTATAAAGTTTGTTTACAAACGTATGTAATTCAATACGAAACTTCATCTTTAAAACATTTTTAATATAACCATTGTAACTATTGTGACATTTCACTTTTGTTCATACATTCCAATATCTCTTAGTGTTTTCAACTTTTTAATATCTTTCATACATCTTGATATTCGTTCGTCAGATCCTATTGTAACGACCTGAGTGAGTTATGTCGTCATTGATAACTAATGAGGTCGAGATTAAATGAGATTAAACAATAGAAGAAAATCATCTAAATTTAAGAATACGTCGACTGGTTATTTATCATCGATGGATGCAAACAGCGAAATTTTTTGCAGAGTTATACAATAATTTCAATGCACTAGTTATACTGTGGTTTAGGTGTTGTCGCTATAACTATTGATTGAGCCTGCTCAGAACTTGATCGCCGTTATTGAGATACGATAATCTAAGCCTTCTGAAATGATCGGCTCGCGTAAAAATATATGGCGCAGTCTCGGTACACTTGGCGCGAAACATTATCCGTCTCTTAACCCTTTGAAGCATACATTTTTCTATTACAAAGTTTTTAAAAAATTTAATCTTAAAAAACTTGGTCAATAATGAATTCGTCCGAAAAAATTGCTGTTTTTCATATTTGTTTATTTATAAACCTTTCACAATAAATATTAAAGACTACTAAACTTTTTTATATTCTTTTGTTGCTAAGATATCCTAAAATGCAAAAAACCCGACCTAAATGCGTTAACTAGAAATGAAATGGCCAAAAAGTAAAGAAGTTGAGGTGGTTGATCAAGTCTCATTTTGACTAGAATAGTTGGGAAAGAACTACCTTAACCCAGGATCTGACGATCGAATCAATGCCCTTCCCACCCCCGGCTTTTATCATTCTTCTTTAAGAGTTCTCTTTCGGAAGTCGCAGTAATTCTGGCGATAATATTATACTTTAAACTTGCGTCGTCAAAGCTAACTGCACACCTCTCTTAGTTAAAACATTTTTCTTCTGCGCCAAGTTCTTGGATTCACTGATAATTGTAATGTTTGATCGTGATGTCATGGTTACCGCCGTGGTGGAAGTCTTGCTGAAAAGTAATCCCTTTTCCCCTTCCTCGTCGTTGAGCTCTAGCCTGGAGTGTCCAGGGTTAGTTTGCAGTCCGTCAGCGTTAGCTTTGTTCTTCCGGAAAAATACACTGTTCTCGTTGATACGTTGATTCACGTCCTTTCCAGTTACACAGATGCATGCCTTTAGGAAACTCTTTTTGAAGTTGTCACTCAGGAAAGCATAGAGGATCGGATTCATTGCGCTGTTGCTATAACTGAGGAAACCGGCTAAGAGAAAGCTCGCGATGCTCATGCTGGTCTGACACTGTCTCGGTGGGGTGAATATCAAAGCTAATTGGGTTACCCAGTAGGGTAACCAACAGAATATATACACAGTAATCACCGTTAAGACTAGTCTGGTAACTTTTCGATGCCGCTTTCTCTCCTTCGATTTGTTTTGCGGACCTACTGTTCGTAACTTTTTTATCACTAGAAAGTAGAAGTTTAATATGAATATGAGGGGAAGGACAAAGCCTAGAATGAAAGTGTAAAGAATAAAAGCAGTCTGGCCGCCGCGGTCATTGGGCCAAAAGATATTACAACTGGCATGCCCATTTGGGTATTCCATGGTGTCCGCATAACGAAAGACCGGTATCATAAAGAGAATGCTAGTAGTCCACGCGGTAAACGAAACTATTTTGGAGATGAAAGGCGTGCGTATCTTCGAGGATGAAATAGGATGGCACACAGCAACGTAGCGATCAGCACTCATGATGAGCAGGAAGAGACTGCTTGTAAACTGATTGATAGTCGTCGTGGTCATGTATGCCTTGCACATGAATTTACCGAAAACCCAATTGTGGACGTTCATCGTCGTCACTAAGAACGGTATACCGATTAGGAAGCACTCGTCTGCGATCGCCAAATTCACGATGTACATGTTCGTGACGGTTTGCATACTTGAGAAGCGTAGAATGACGTATATAACCAAAGAATTCCCAAGGACTCCGACGATAAAGACGATTACGTAAAGGACCTGATTGAACAGACCAACAAACGACAAATCAACCACGCAACTTATGTCCGTGTGGTTCGTTGAGTTGTAAGTAAAGTTGTAATCCATTATTCCCTGCCAATTATCTTCGCACGATTCAGAGATCATTAATTTGACGGTTGCCACCTTTTGGGATGAGCATTTCTCTTGCTGCACAGTAGATTTTGCATTTGTAGACTTTGAAGACTAGAATCTGAAACACACGAGAAAAATACAAAAATTGGTAAAAGTAAAATTTTGATAAAATTAGGCTATAATAAGATGATTCAAAGATATTTATTATATCCATAAGAGCAATTCTTTTACATTAGAAATTGAGATTACGTAACAAAGGAATCGCTGTCATGTACTCGGTGTTTTCACGATTCAGTTACATACATCTCTGTAATAAAAAATGAATATATAGGAATGTACTTAGAGTATTATTTCATAAAGCATAAAATGTTGTTTTTCGTCTTTCAAATAAAGTCAGAAAACGCAATCTTCATGCTTTTTCTTCGAATGCACATTGAAATATCACCTGTCAAGAGTGTCAGGTGACTTTGCGCTGCGTTCCCAAGATTTGGACTCAAGATAGTTGCTTTTTAATGCACTTAAAGCTATCAACAAAAACTGCATGAAATTATTGGTCAACCCAATATAATCAATACAATCAATATTATTTTTCCACATACTATCAAAATATTCTTTTATTATTTACAATTAAAATTCTAATAGTTACAGTTATATTTATAAATAGTTACAGTTAAAATTCTAAAATTCAGTCTGTAAGAATAAATATATTGTTGATTAAAAATTATATTTTAACAATTCTGTTAAAGTTAATTCATTTCGCTTCGATTTGGGTGAAATTTTGTTTATTCGGTTCGATTCAAATTCGAAAAAGGAAATTAAATTTCTTGGATCAGATTTAATATAAAAAAGTCTATGATTCGCACATCTCTATAAGTTGTATGAGGTCTCAATATTTCACTTTCTGTTTGGAGGAATATAATTAAATAGCGTACTAATTATCAAAATTCAGTATTTTTGATTAATTAATTTTAATCTTACAACAACAATATATAGGGTGTTATGTAATACCCGCATCAACGCTTATTGTGGAATAGAGTGGACTAGACTAATTGTAAGTCGAAAAGTCCTGTACCACTTTGCAGGTTTTGCAATAGTTAATGAGTTATTAATTATTAAAAATCGTTGTCTTAGGCCGGTCCACTGCCCAATTCAAACGTGCGGCGAGATCGATCGATCGTTACAACTCTCTGCGCGCC